TGTAGCAGGACCCTGGACCAGGTTTTCCCTTAAATTTGTCACCCTCTTGTGTATTTCATTCAAGTCCTGTTGCACATTTCTGCTACCTTACCTTGTGTTACAACAGCATAAACAGACACTGTTTTAATCCAGGGAAAGAAGACTTAGAGTCAGTTTTTACTCATTTATCATTTAAAGGCTCTGTTTGCTCTATTGTCATTCAACTGTATTTACATTTTCTGGCTTTTAATGCACCATTATATAAAGATATTGGGTGTTTATTCTTTATAAAAGCTGCTCAATCAGACAGATCCACCTGCAGCACCAGACAGTGTGTTTTTCAGCCACTAGAGGGAGCAACAAACACTGTTTTCCTAATATGACCAAAGCACTTGACTGTGAGCAGCAATCTAATCTGGCACTAAAGAGGCTCCATGAATTCTTTCCACTTACATGCAGTCAAGCTGAAAGAGTTATGTTCATATTAGCATTAATAGATCTTAATGTGTGACAGGCCTCACAGTGGACATTATGATGTAGAAATCCACTGAGATCATTAATAACACTGTGGAGTCTCAGCTTTAAGATGTATTGTAGTCGCTAAAGTGGGTTTTATTAATTATTCTTTGCAGGGGTTAATTCCTAATATGTAAATTAGTCCATAAAGAACACTATAGGGCCTTCACCCATTATTTAAACTTGTTTATTTTGAACATCTTTATTTACTGGAAAGCACTTTGGCACCAGCAGCTGTTGTTTCAAATGTGCTGTAAAAAAACTTACGTTGCCTGACTTGACTGGAGTTTACACACTTCATGAAGAACAGAGTTACTGAAAGGACTGATAATAACATCTATCTAAAACCCACACATTTAATAAAATCCTTTTCTCGCCCCAGACAAAGGGACTCACAGGCTTAGACATGTTGATTGTACAAAACATATCCTGAAACACTGAGTTGTTCCAGCTGCCTTTATCTGAATACAAACACTTTGAACAGTTATCACCTGCTTTTAGCAACTTCTTTCTTCACACTCAGCTCACCAACTGAGAAACATATTTCATTTACTTTTTTTTTTTTTTTAAAGCGCCAATATTCCTCTAACTTTGTGCAGCGATTCATAGTTGGACACATTAGAGAGAGTTGTGTAGCTGTTAGATGAGCTCTGTATACCCAAACCAAGGGAGGTTTCTCTGAATAAAACTGCTTCTTTTTGGCCTTAAAGCCCGAACATTGGCAAGCATGCACTAAATATTTGTAAAAATATAGTTGGTTAAGGCCATTTGTCTACTTTATCTAAAACATTTCAGAGGCTGGTGTCTACTAATAAATGTTTGTGACCAGTTTTAATGCAGCCAAAGTGCTTTACAGTAAATGTAAAGTTCATAAGAAGGAAAACTGGTTAGTCAAAGTGATTAGAAAGAGAGTTCACCTACTGAAACAGCTGTTAACAACTGAGCACATTTGCCATCCTGGAGTGTAAATTTGCCAAAAAGGACTCATAATAAAGATTTTCAGTGGTAATCACTACAAGGCCTCTCTTGATGCTGCTCTCCTTTATATATTAAAAGCATTGAAGTCAAGACTGTAAGCTGTGATCTTAAAAGTGAAGTGACTGAACCTATAAGTGATGATAAAAGTCTAACTCCAGTCATCTGAATAAGTTGCTGTCTGTTTGTTTGCTCAGGTGTTTGTGCCCTTCAGGGGAATAGAAGTCGCTGAGGTGGACCTCCTCTCTCAGCCTGACTACAGCTCCTACATAAACCAGCGGACTGGTGAAGCCTCCCAGCTGTGCACTCTACAGCTGCACCGCTGCCAGTCTCTGCCGTGCCATGAAGACCTGAGCACTCTGCTGCACTCACGTCTTCTCCGCACCGATGAGTAACACCAGCCATGCTTTGTCTCCCGTGCTGCCCCTCACCAGCTTTGGCAATGTCATGATGTTCCTTTTCAGCATCTTCCTGGCCGCGGCCATCATTTTCCTCAACGTGTCCGCGTCTCTCTCCATCCTGCTCAACAAGGCGCTGCGCCAAGAGAACCGCTTCATGTACATGCTGAGCACCTGCCTCAGCGACATCTGCTCCGGCGTGTCCTATTACTATGTGGGTGTTCTGGATGTGAAGGACACCTTTGACTCCCCCACCACAACCTTCTACGTGGTGCCCACGTTTCTAGGCATATCCTACATGGCCATCCTGGCTGCTCAGGCCGACAGATACCACGCAGTAGTGTCGCCCTTCAAATACTCGCAGCGCATGACCCGAAACAGGACCTTGATGGTCATCGTCGCCTACTGGGCCTACGCGTTCTTCATCGTGGCCATCCAGAACCTGGTTGCAGTGGGGATTGCCAGACGCATTGCGAGCATTGGTTCGTTTATTGGGAACATAGTGACAGTGATTATAATGATAGGGCTGAACATCAAGCTGTTCATCATAGCCAGGTTCCAGCTGGGGAGGGAGCAGTCGTCTGAGGAGACGGAGAGCAAGCGCTCGTCGGTCTATCTCATCCTGGTGGTGGCTGTGTTCTTCCTCGGGACGTGGCTTCCGATATTCTCTCATGTTACTGCCTGTAATTTAATTGGCACCACCTGCTACAGCTTTAGGAATGAAGGCACTGACCCCCTGCGCATCTTGCCCCGAATTAACGCCGCCCTGACCCCCATCCTGTACATCCGAGGCTGCGCTGCGCTCAGAGCGACGCTGCTCGGCAAAGTGTGGAGACCCTGTTGTAGGAGGAGGTGAGAGGCTCAATCTGTTTCCCTCCTCAGTGCTGTGCACACATTCCTGTCGTGTTAATTCAGTAGAGGTGGTTTGATGACTTCTGGAGACCAGAGTCAAGCTGATTTTCAATTTAATTCACTTTGTTTAAACTAGAAACACACTCATGTATGTCTGAAAGACCATCTGATTATCTGTTACATCTCAGAGCTGTGAAGGTAACATGATGTGTTTTAATGTTCTTTTTGCTGGTTCTTGGTTGAAGTGATCTTTTTTTGCTGCCCTGAACACACCAGCGTCCAAATGTTGACTTGCATTCAGTACGAAGCAATCAAATCCTGAATTTGATCTAAAATGACTTGTTTTTTTCTCTCCTTCTCCCTCCTTTAAGCGTTCATCCTCGACGCCTTGGCCGCAGTAAACAGCCACTCCCCGGAGCATAACTTCAAACTTGGATCGTTTCTAAGCGGATAAATGTCAGAGTCAGCGCCCTTTTAAACTCATGCCAACGTAGCATTATGAATGAATTGTCAAACACTGAGGACAAGTTCAGACTTTGGGTTTCTTGGAACGGTTTCATCAGCACATCTAACGACTGTTCTCACACATTATTATTTATTTTATTGCTTATTTACTTTTCCAGAGAACTGATGGAAATTACACATGAACTCTGATCCTGTTGTGTGCTTTGAATGGAGCGTTTTGTTTGTTTGTTTGTTTGTTTATTTGTTTTTTAGTACTTCAAGCCAAATATAATGAATAAAAATGTCAAACTGAGTGTGTCAGCTTTATGCCTTTTTTTGTCAGGCGTGTTTATTTTCATAGTCAACATGTTTTTAAGACAAATCTTTAGTTTTCCTGGTACCATATTTACGCAAACATATTTTACTCGGTTACAGTTTGTCACTGAACCGTAAAAGAATAACAGAACATTTGTTGTGCAGCTGCCAGACCTGCGCTGTGTTTTCTCTGTTTTGGTTTCTCGCCTCAGCAGCTTGATTACGCAACTCGGTGTGCATCCCTGCAGAGGATGCAGTTTCCTGGGCAACCACACAGTGTCAGAAGAGCACTTTGGCACGACGCCATAACGTCCATATCCGTGGAATGTGAACCATAAGCACAAAACACGGGAGATTACACTCATGCCGCATCTGGCTGAGCCTCCAGCGCCTTGTCGCTGGTGCGCAGTTTGGATTCATTACTAGCTGCGGGCAACATGATCACAATTAAATCTCGTTGATAGAGACTGAACGCAAGGTACGTCGGTGAAACCCATCAGTGGGGTTCTGTCCAGGTTTCCATTGGCTGAAGGCTCTCTGTGCTAAGAGGAGGAGCCTGCGTATCGCCACACTTCCGCACATCTGGTGCCCAGTTTCTGAACCTCAACCATCCCACTCACACACACACACACACACACACTCTCACTTTGCTGATACTCCTTAAATCATCAGGTCAGCGCAGGAAGAGTTAAAATCCCCCTGCTCACCATTTAGGCCACATCATTGTTCTGCACAAACAGAGCCAGAAACACACCAGACTGCACCTAAATGCCTCAACCAAAGTGAAAAACACACACAACAAAGTGCCTTGAGTCACATTGTCATTCTTGAAATACTGAGGGTTGAGATAATTATCAGAAGTCCAGCTGATGTACAAGAAGCAGCGTTCTGTGGTGCTTTGGGTTTAATAAACGTTCAAACTGTTTGCCAGGAAAGAAAAAAAACCCTCACAGAGAAACATGGTGCACGCTGCAAAAAAACAGAAATACAGAAAAATCACTCCACGCTGTAAAAAAAAAAAAAAAAGTCAAGTTGCTTAATCTGCATCAGCTTTTTATGTTCAAACCTGGACACGTTAGAAGAGATCATTTCATAAAATCCCCATTTTTGCACCAGTCCGTGGCCCACTGAGCCACACTGCAGCCAAACTGGACTCCAAACGCACCCCTTCGTTAAAACAATATTTTATTTAATTGTTCTTTGCTATTGCAGCAGCAGCGAGGATCAATATCACGCAAAAACAATTCGGATATGTTCGGCTGCGCAGACCCGCATCGACCAGAGCGCGAGCGTGGATAAGTCGCGCTGCTGACATAAGAAGGCCTGAAAACCAGAGTTTAAACGCATTAATCTGCTCCGTGTCTCTCTTTCTCTGCCATCTTGCAGGTAAAGTTGCCAGGGGTCCCGGTTTGAGAAAGTGGCCAAACCCTCCCACAGTGGGATGTTTTCTCTGCTGCACTCTGGGCTGGTTTCTATTCAAATGTGGGTCAGGGGTGAGGAAGCCTAACGTCATAAGCTTGCAACATGGCGTCCCGAAGGCTGTGAGATGAGCAAGAGGATGGTAAAGAACGCTTGAGAACGATCCTACCGATGTAATAAGGTATTTCTTCTCCATTATTTCTCTTTAACGCGGATTGTTAACGCGCAACGGAGCCGCTTTCGTGCCCGTTTCGATCGGATCGGTTTCCCCCACAGCTGCTGCAAGAATCGCAAGGCTTTTCGGCGTTATACCGTGGTGTGTTTTTTTTTTCCCCCAACGGCGTGCCAACAAAAAAAGGGGCTCTGCTGGTGCCTGTTCTGGCTCTACCAGCCTGCTTTTGGCAAGCCGAGAAAATCCACACCGCCGCAGTGGCTCGAACACGTCGCGGATCCTTAACGCGAAACCGCAAAGTAAATTGTTCGCAAATGTTGAGGCGTTTATTTTAGCGTCGTGGGTTTACATGAGATGCCCCACAGGACGAGAGTGTACCAGATAATTACCAGGCTGGCAAAGCACATCAGGCGACAAGAGGGGGGAAAAAAGGATCCACAAACGGCTTCGTCTTTACCGAAACCTTCCCACACTTGAGCACGTTCGCTCGGATTTCTGACCCAATGTGTTGAATGAATTGTTTACCAGAATTTATGGTGATGAAGGTTTCATTTAAATCGATCGCGGTCGTGTAAGCACAGCAGACTTTTTCTACATGGAACTGAATTGCACTTTATGCGGTAAATGAAGCGATTCTGTGGATTTTACGCACGTTTTTTATTTTTTTTTTTTTAATGTTTTTTTGCGCAACCGCCTGATAATCGTGGAGATGTTTGCAGTCGGTACCAACAGTGTAACCTGCATTGTTTATATGTAGGCTAAGCCACCTTGGTCTTAGGTAGGACTAATTAAAAAATGATTCAACGGGATTGACTCGCAAATAAACCCGGTGCAACGTGGACGCAGACAGTTTGTGGGTTTTTAAAGCGGACGTGGATCGGACCGATGCGGTGGATCGTGTGTGTCTTTCTGCCTATAGGTGGACCAGGGCTATACATCGACCATCTTTGTGATCGGCTACAGTGTGGGTGTAGCGTTACATTGTGACCCAAAACTGCTGTGTTTTATACAAACAGGGCTGCGTGACACGGATTTTGCGGGTTTTAAATGACTGTTTGGCCTCATCGAACGCTGGATTATTAAACTCCGAACGCGACCACGAACCACTTGGTTGCTTATCAAACAATGTATGTGCTCAGGTGTGAAGGCAGCTCGGCTCCCCAGGTGATTAGTGTTGTTAAAGTACCAAGGGGCATGGCGATAATAAGGCACAGGAATGTCAGTAATGTGTGTGTTCCCTTGACTGACTGCTGTTTTGTGTAACCACATTTTAGTTCTGTAAAAAAAAAAAAAAATGTTTCCTCGTTAGTTCTGCTTTACGTTGCTTAGTGAGGGAAATGGCACAGAAAACAAGATGCAGCTATTATGGCAGGTCCTGATCTTAATGCTGCTACAGTTTGTAAAATGTGTGTTTGAGCTGGTGTTTTGGTTCTTTTTTTGTAGCTTAATGGCACAAAAGTACCTCGTTTTTATTCTCTAATTAGAAAACACCCACAGTCAGTGTGAACTCATTTCAAGCAGGCTTTATTTATTTATTATTATTTTTTATTTTGACTCTGTCTCCAAAACTCTTGTGAAAGTTTTCTAATGGGGCTAATATAAAGATAAATCCTATCTGTTTTTCACAACCTCTTATCCTGTTCGGTGTTGCAGGGCGCTGCAGCCCATAATATGAAGATTACAAGATGTTATTTTGGCTGGCTACACCCAGCCAGAAGTGCTGTTGAAGTGTTTGGTTGCCCTGCCCGCTGGCTGAATGATTAGCTCAATTGTCCTTTTCAACAAACGCAAGATTTTTCAAGCCTGGACGAGGTGCGTCCAAACAGCGCTTTGTGCCTTATGTGCTTAATCTAATTTGGTGAGGCTTCTAAAGCAAGGAAAGGGCTCCTGGCTGTCCTGCCTGGAGCGTGTGATGATATCAGTGATGCATCTGTAACAGCAACAAGCTTTGAAGACAGTAGTGTAATTGTGAGTAACTGGCCACATAGTATTATAAATATTGCACTGAACATGTGTTACGTGGGCTCGTGTGGGCGATGAGTAGTACGCCGGTGTAGTTACCAAAACACAAATAAGAGTTTAATACTGACTGTAAAGTGTGATGCACTTTGTACAGTTTTGATCCAGAAGTGAGTTAATTTAGGCCATTTAAATGACCAAGTCAAGTCAACTGATCAGTGTGACTAGTTTCATTGATTACTGTGGACTACAAAGTCAGGCCTGGAGGCTAATGTGAGGCCCTTGTGTGTGTGTGTGTTGTGTGTGTGCCTCATGATCCTCATGATCAGATGGCGTCTCCTCACCCTGCTTGTCCCTTCCCCTTCCCAACACACACCTGTGCAGCGTGCGATCATGGCTTACAGTGGCATGTGTGGGCAGCACAATGCAGTAAGAAGGCTGCTTAGGCTATATGTTCTGCTGACATGTTGAGCGAGGACTTATAGATTGTGCTCGGCCGCTGTAGCCGTGCGGATCCGTCTGTTCTGTCCTGCGCTCGCCTGTTGGAGGGCAGTTTGGTTTGTTTAGTGGATAAAGTACCTCGGGGCAGGGTTGTTGTTGTTCTTAAAGAAGAAGAATGTGGAATGTAGCGCTGATAGCCAGAAGGTTATGCAGTGTTTAAAGGCTGGAGGAGGAGGAAGACGAGGAGGAGGAGGAGGAGGAGGAGGGGTGGCAGCTCTGTTAAACCTTGGACCATACAGGGTCTCTCCTCACCCGACATGCTGTCCTCAGCCCAGGCATTAGGCACCGGGTCATGTGCTAATGCTGCCTTTTAAAGGTGTGAGGCTGGTGGTGGTGGTGTAGGTGGGGTTATCCCATCAGGTTTGTTCTCTCAGGACAGAGGTCCCGTTATCACACCAATCATATGTTTGTTTGTCAGTGAAGTGGTTGATTACTTTACTTTTGGTGCGGGCACACAGCGGGACACAGTACCTCCTCACTGCTGAAAGTCTCAGTGTCCACGTCAGTCTTTACTTAATTTCTCCAGGGAGCAGTTTGGATGAGCCGCAAAATGCAAAACAGCAACTTGGAGCAGAGAGACACAATCGGTGCATAAACCCACAACAGAAAGAGGAGAACAAGACCAAGTAGAGTCGGCTTTGATGTGTCCAACATGGATCTGAGTAAATACTCGTATTTGTTCCCCTTTAAAGTCTAACAAAGCTTTCATTTAAGCTTCTATCTTGTTATTTTTTTTAGCAATGAAAACACAGTCAGGTGGTCATTCAACAAGAAATAAACATACAGATGGATGATTGTTTTTACTGTTGATTTTCTGAATCAATTAATTTGAAGTTTGATCCATAGAATGTGGAGAAAAACCAAAGATGACGTCCTCAAATGTCTTGTTTTGTCCACAATCCAAAGATATTCGTTTCATGGTCACTGAAAAGCAAAGAAGCCAGAAAATATTTAAATATAAGAAGCTGGAATCAAAGACATTTTACTGTTTTTCTTCTTTAAAGAATTGCTTCAAGTCTCTCAACTAGTCATTGCACCTCGACTGTATGTATAAGAACACATAGCTTAAACTCTTTGGATGTTTGGTTGTTGTGATGTTTGAAAATTAAACCTTGTACAACTTGTTTAACCTGAAACTGCTGGATGCTGAAGCTAAAATATCAAATCAGGCATTTGCTATGATCTGGATATGATGAGCAGATTGTAAAGGACAAACATTTAGATTCACTTTTCGTAAACTTTAAATTAAATGTTTTAGCTGTGAGTCTTCACACGTTGCCCCGTATCGACTACAGTAAAACTCGACCCTTTTAAGTTTATTCACAAACAGAAGCTCTCTGTAGCTTCTGTAAATACAAGAGAAACTGGACATTTGTCTTTGAGCTCTGTTGTTGTTTTGTTCAGCTTTTAACACACAACTGCTGATGTCTGTCCATAGAAACATCTAGGAAGAGAAATAGCAGAAATACTTGCATCATTAAATTAATATCTCTCCCTGTCCTGTCTTTAGCAGTGATCTTAGCTTTAATGTTTAGTTTGACGTTAAATTGTGCCATCCTGATAAATAAAATCAGCCTGAGTGAAATGGGAGTGGGCCACAGTCTATAAAACATAAGGGTGGAGTTTGTGGCCCAGTTTAGACATCTGCTTCTTGCAACTTCCTCTAAAATAAATGTGAAGCAGAGGCTGTGGCACACCTTCTGTCCCTTTAACTCGTTCTAGATTTGACTGTGGTTTTAGCATCTCGGGCGACCTGTGGATGACACAGAACAACTTTATTCATACATTGTCAAGCTACAATATTAGAAAAAAGGTTAAGAGTCACTCTGCAGTTCTATCACACAAAGGAAAACATTCCTTCTTATTTGACTGGTGTTGATGCCGAGCAGACAGTAGATGCTGAAATACCAAAAAGGTTCGACTGCAGCTGGAGTTGTGCACAACATGTGTGTGTGTGTGAAGGTGTGAGTGTTTGCCTTCACGTCCGTTGCTTCCAGCTCTGGTGCATCTGGACTGCGCTGCAACCACCGCTAGCTGTCATGTGATGAAACAAACTTGGCTCTTTTCATTCCACTGCACCCTGGGCAGGACGTGTTTGTCTGCAACACGGCTCAAGTGCCCGACAGAAAATTAGACTTAATTGGACCGGTTCTACCCAGACTGCGGCAGAGTTACTGTGATTCTTACACTCCATGTCGGCCATGCAGCACTATGCTCATGCACCTGTTCAACAGCAGTTTGGATCTGCACAAATTCATGCTTGTAGGACAGTTCAGTTCAGCCTTTATATCTCGTCTCACTGTTTTTGAGCTTCACTACAGCAGGACGTCCCTCCTGCAGCTTTTTCTGAAAAGATTACCAGAATTGGATCACTGTCCAGAATTCCAGCAGATGCTCTGCATCAGAGCCTTTCAACTGTTTACTATGGAGACGTGAGCGCAGGCCAGTTTTTATTTCAAGCAAAGATCACAGAAAGTTGCTTCATTTATTATATTCATAGTGGCTGGAATAAAAAATAAAATCGGTGTCTTCTGCTTCCACGATAAACCTGCTCTCAATATATCAGTGGAAATAGTTTGAAATGGTGCCATGTTTTTAGATTAAACAGTTTTTTCTCACCTTATTTTTCTAACAGAGGCATTGCTCTCTTTCTGCACTTATTCAACTTAGTGCAAACAAAACAAGACTTCCTTAAAAGTGACGAGGAATTATGAAAACCTTGTTAGTACTGCGAGATATCAGCTGATTTCTGTACCATGTGTGTGTTTCACAGACTTTCTAAACAAGGTTTTACTCGTGCACGCAAAGTTCAGACAAGCAAAGTACGGCTGTGACAGCAGTGAGAAAAATTATGTCATCACCTTTGTAGCCAATCAAACTCTTATTTAAACAGAAAGAATTCGTCCAACATGCAAACAGTAAGAAAATACTTTAAGCTGTCCCACTGCCCAACCCAAACGCCCTGACACGCTGCAAGTATGCCTGGATTAAAACATCACAGAGTGGAAAATACCTGCTTATCACCTGCATGTAAGTGCAGCTTCTACAGGAACCAGCTTTAATGAGTTCTCCAGTTACCTGATCTGTTTTTTTGCATTGGAACAGTTGATGTGGACCGATGTGAGGAATGGTGATAAATGGTTTTGCAGTGTTTCCTCTGATGCAGCAGATATATTACAGAGGTGTGCAGGAACATGATCTGTAAAAGTCCAGCTGTTTGGTTTCATCTCCTCATTGTCCTGTCACCTCGGAGGACAAGTCACATACTTGCAGTGCCCACCAGTGCTGCCTGGATCGGCCTTTACCCATGCAGCAGCGTCAGCCATCTTGAAACGGCTCAGAGGTGGTTGCTTGGTGTTTGTATTTCAAACTGGCTTTGTACCATCCCCCTAACCCCTCCCCCACTGCCTCTGCCCACCAGCATACTCTGAGTGTGTGTGTTGTGTGTGTGTTGTGTGTGTGTTTTAAGTGCACTGTCTCTCTGAGTGCACAGCAAGTCCTTTGGCTCCTGTACATGATTGCCTCTCATTGTCTGTCCACTTCAGTCCCTCCTGCCTACCTATCCGTCTCCACTACCTGTCCTTCTGCGCATATTGTCGTGGTCTACAGTAACAGCTCGACAGCGTCATTACTGGCTATTGTTTAAAGGAATCCTGGAAGTAAAACCCTGCAATAAAATTTCTTCTTCTTCTTTTTTTTTTTAATCCTGCTCGGTCCTGTTTTCTATTGGCTGTCAGCAGATGACCTTTCACAGTAGTAGGGTGTGCTTTGTTATTGCGCCACAGGACTTTGCCTCACCTCTGGCCTCTCTTGGCTCTCTACCCTCTGCTCAGGAGATTAGTGCCACAGCCCACTGCTCCCTCGATCACCTTCACTGCATGCACGAACACCGGCTCTGAAAGGTTTACTAACTTGCTGTTTAATCCATAAACTCCTTGGTTAAAGACAAAAAGAGGATGCAGTGACAGGTGGCAGTAAATGAAGTCAAACCTGATCGTCCAGCTGAATTTAGAGAAAGATGTTTATTTGCTGCTTGGGGCACTTTGACTCGTTTGCCAAATCAACACACGGATACTTTATCCTGATCGTGTCTGTCGATTGCGTGTAAACATCCCTGTCTGCTCATCTCCTCCTCAGCGGGCTCCTGAAACGAGTCAAGGTTGAGGCCAAGCAGCGGGGTGCTGTGTTTTTAAAATGAGGTTGCTCCCTCTATCATCAAGCCATAGTTTTTGAAAAGGTTAACACTGCAGGCAAGGTAAGCTGATCCTGTGCCTGTGCTTGAAGGGCAACATCTACCCTGGTCCGTTACAGTCCGAGGCTGGCTTTGGTCGGTATGTGGTGCCATATTTGGTGGGAGCAAGTCTCCTTTCTTGCAGCCCCCCTGACCAGCTCTCATGCCAGCTCTCGTTGTCCGTGCCAGTCATTGCAGAGGGACTTAAAAATACAGAGATCAGACCCCTGCGCAGAATGCTGCCTGCCAACTACGTAACATTATACGTACGAACTAGTCATCCTGCATACTGGAAACACCTTTCTTGCTGTTCTTGTGGGATCGTCTTTCTAACGGCCCATCCATCCCTGACTGTGAGGCTGCAGAACAACAGCCAAGATGCAGTGTTGACATTTTTTTTAGAGTGCTAAGAGTGTCGTGCGCCCGCAGATTGAGCCACCGTGATGGTGCCGGCCTCGTCCGTCCCCCGTGGTATTACTTCTGTTTTCCTGGGCAGCATCGTTGGAAGGGGAGCTGGGCCTACACGTGTCCCACCCTAGCTGCATATAGATCAGCCGTAATCCATTAGCAGCTCCCTGGAATCCAGCCGGCACAGCACTGGAGGGGCCAGGGGGAGAGTGGAGCTGTGTGGGTGATGGGGGGAGGAGAGGGAGAACCAGGGATGAGAAGAGGAGGAGGTGGGGGAGGGCTTTTTTTTTTTTTCTCCCCTCCTGAGCTGGCTTCTCTACTCTGAGCCCAGCCCCCTTTTATGTTGGTCTGCTGGAAAAGCCTCTTGAATCCCCCCATAAAGCCTGCAGAGGTGTGTGTGTATGTTAAGCGAGAGACTTGAATGATATATGGCTTCCTGGCTGGCATCGTAGCAGAGGCCCTTCTTACTCTCGCAGCCCTCTTCTCCATTACCGCCTGCAGGGTTGAGTGCCGTAGACCCCCGTAGCACATTCTGCGATTAACAGATCTGGGTTATGCATTCCCGAATAGCTCATTATGATTCACATCGGGGACGGCGAACTGTTCCCGGGATGTGCCCGGTGAGAGGCTGGTGAGGGTGGGAAGATAAAGAGAAAGGCGGAGGAGAAACGGGGGAGGGGAGGGAAGGCCGTGAGTAGAAGTGTCAAAGCAGAGGAGGCAAGTCCAGGCCTGGACCTGAGAGTAATGATCACTCCAGCTGATTGTATCAGCTCGTCTGACGGTGAGCTCTGATGCATCCGCCAGCCATCTCCAGTTTACATTTCTAACCGGGTTCCTGTACGATTTTCAGTTCCCGCTTGTACCAGGCAATCTTTGCATGTTGTCAATTCTATTTAGATGTATTAAGATTTGTCTATGTAGCGGTTTTGCACAACTTCAGTCATCACCATGCACTTCATGTGGTAAGATGGAGACGGTATAATATTATCTTATAGGGAGAAACCCAACAATGAACACAATTCCTTTTAAACTGGAGAAAACCTCCAGCAGAACATCTGCCTTGAACATTTTGAGAGAGAGATTACCATCATTAACGGGTCCCTTTTCCTATTTTCCTATTTTCTTTAGTGCTAGTTTTCATCTTTGTGTTGTTGCTCTTTCTCTCTATGCTGGGTAGAGATTATAGAACTTAACTGTAGGGACTTGGCCAGTATGTCTGATGCTTTGTTTGAGTAAGATGTGATGCAAAATGTTGGAAATGTCTGATTTCTTGAAGCATAGAGATCCAATGTAAGTGCAACGTTCTCACACTGAATAGACCAGTTTAGTGTGAACTCCATTGTTTATTTCATACAGTGGTCCTTGATTAGTATACACTTAAAATATTTGAAGCAGAGCAGCTGCCTCTGAGCTCTTATGGCAGCTTGTTTGGATAAAACACAGAGCAGGCGTGCATCAGTCACTCCGGCTAGCGGTGTATTATGAAACAGTAAATCTCTGGGTTGGCACAGGGTTAAAATGGCAAATTTTCACATGTATTTACGGCTTGAGTTAAGTATTTCTCTGCATTACTGTGTAATCGCTTGTAATACCGTTTACCCGGCTGTAGTCAGGGGCATTAAAGACGTGTGTCCTTTTCCCTCACATGCCCATCGCCATAAGACTACGTTAAACATGAGTCACAGGCAGAACCGGCTGCCAGAACCAAAGCAAACCGTCCTCGAATCTCTTAAATTTCATTAACCAGATGTAAGTTTATTGTGTCAGACTGAAAAACGGAGCGCTGGTGCATGTAGTAGGTCATGTGGTTTAACAGCGAATGAGATTGTCCTAATTTCATAAATGAGGGCCTCTCTGGAGGATCGAGTGGTGCTGTCCTTGCCTCTGAGCCACACCCTCCCCCCCTCTTCTTCAGCCCTGGTTCCTGTGTAGTTTTACCTGCTCAGGTGTCACCTAATCCCTCCCCCCGGCGCTGCTGTGCCACCGACCCCCCACCCCCAGACAATGGGGCAGGGCTGACATTACCATGACCTAATGGAGACGAGAGTGAGCAGAGTTTCCAAAGAGGGCACCCCATCGAAACCAGAGTCACTCCAGTGAGATAGGGAAGCTGAGAGGGAGGCACCTTAGAAAAGTAGTTACTTTACCCTTTCCTCTTCTCCACCCCTGTGGCTTTTGTGCCAGAACAGTGGCAATGTGTACAATCAGAACTTGATCCATGTCGGGCTGCAATTGGTTTAAAAAGGAAGATGAGAGGGAGGGCAGGGTTCCAGTTTCTAAGCCGCTGTGTGATTATGTGGCATGCTGTGCTAACAGTTTGCTAATTTCCCCGTGAGAGCTAAAAGCTTAGATTGATGTAGTCGCAGTGGGAGTCATAAGAAATGCAGCATAATTGTTAGCTGTGTGGGACATGCAAGCGTTGTAAATGTTAATTAAACCAGTCTTGGAGAAAAGAGTCCACTGCTTTGAAGCTAAGCGAGCTGTGTTTTGGTCATGAAGCTTTGCATGCTGCATTAACCAAACGAGTGTAAGACGCTGCTGATTCAATGTCATTTTTAAATCTTTGTAAATGTAAAATGTCAACTTGTGTGTGCGTTTTGTGCTCTCATGTCTTTACTGTGGCTTATGCGTTAAGCAGATCTTCATTTTCCAATCTACTGCTTCCTTATTTTTAATATTAAACTAACCACCTTCTCTTTTCTTCTTGTTCTTCCAGCTTCAGGTGGTGCTCGTGTAGGAAGAGAGAGAGAAGGAAAGACGGAAGGAGGAAATGGAACTGCCAAATCATGCCAAACAACTGCTGCTGCAACTCAACCAGCAGAGAGCCAAGGGCTTCCTGTGTGATGTTATCATCGTGGTGGAGAATGCGCTCTTCCGTGCTCACAAGAACATCCTGGCGGCAAGCAGCATCTACTTTAAATCTTTGGTCCTCCACGATAACCTCATTAACCTCGACACAGAGATGGTTAACCCCTCTGTATTCAGACAAGTTCTGGACTTCATCTACACTGGGAAGCTCCTGTCTTCGTCAGACCAGAGCAGTGAGCAGAATTTCAGTGCCCTCTTAACCGCAGCCAGCTACCTCCAGCTCCATGACCTCGCTGCTCTGTGCAGAAAGAAGCTCAAGCGCAATGGTGGGAAACCCCTGCCAGGTAAACCCTCCACTCCAGGTCCCCTTAGCCGCTTACGCCTCAACAACCAGCGCCTTTCCTCTTCTACCCCTGCTGGCCCCAACAACCACTATCCTCCGACCCCTTCCGACGCCGACCAACCACAGCCAGATGAAGGCCTTCGGGACAAGCTCTCAGACGATGAGATGTTTGTCGGCAGCTCTGGGAAAAACGGGAACGGGGGGAATGGCAGCAGTAACGGTAACCTCAGTAGTGGAGGAAGTGCTGGGGAGCCAGACCTTGGACTAGATCTTTCCAAGAAGAGTCCTCCCTCTGCGGGCACAGCCACTGATGCCCTCAGCCCGCACAGCAACTCCCAAGAATCCCCTCAATCTGCCTCAGTATCCACAACCAACAGTGCCTCACTGGACGACTCTTCTACTACCCTACCAGGTGGAGACACCTGCGCCTCAGAGACCATGGAGCTCAACTCCTCCTCCAAAACCTCAGAGGAAACTCAAAACCAGCCCGATGGCCCTCCACCCCAGAAAAAATCCCGGCAGGGTGCTCGCAAGAACGAATGGCCTAAGAGGGAGGCCTCAGGGTTGAAGTCTGAAGATCATGACAGGCCCCTGGTTAACGGGGTGATTGTGGGTCCTAAAGATGGCCGCTCCTCTGGGGTAGGAGGGGGCAGTGGTAGCAGCTTTACATCTGACCAGTCCTTCCAGTGTAAAGATGAGGAGGAAGGAGGCGAGAATGGCCAGGACCACAGCGAGGAGAGTGGTCAGAGCGATGGGGAGAGTGCAGGAGGCGGAGGAGGAGGAACCGGAGGGGGACACCACAGCGCCAACTACGTGTACCGGCAGGAAGGTTTCGAGCCAGCATTCGGAGACAACCTCTATGTGTGCATTCCCTGTGGTAAGGGCTTTCCCAGTTCTGAGCAGCTCAACGCTCACGTGGAGACACACACTGAGGATGAGCTCTACATCAAAGAGGAGGGAGGGACTTTTGTGAAAGAAGAAGATGAAGAGGAGGCCGAGGACCTCTCTGCCCCCGTAGGTCCCTCCACTTTTGGCTCTGAAACGCGTCCGTTCAAGTGTACAGTCTGCAGTAAGAGCTACAAAGACCCGGCAACGCTGAGACAACATGAAAAGAGCCACTGGCTGACCAGGCCCTTCCCCTGCAACATCTGTGGCAAAATGTTCACCCAGAGGGGAACCATGACACGCCACATGCGCAGCCACCTCGGCCTCAAGCCATTTGCATGTGAAGAGTGTGGCATGCGCTTCACACGCCAGTACCGTCTGACAGAGCACATGCGTGTCCACTCTGGAGAGAAGCCGTACGAATGCCAGCTATGTGGGGGGAAGTTTACCCAGCAGCGCAACCTCATCAGTCACCTGAGAATGCACACCTCACCCTCTTAGAAATGCATCAAGCCAAAGAACTCTGGGAATAGAAAAACAAACAAAAAAGAAACATTTCTCTACCTTTTTTTCCATCTCAAAAGCAAAGAAATGCACACACACACACACCTACACACACACACACACACACACACCCACACACACACACTCACACACACGTGATTCTACATATTAATTCCAGTTTAGCCCCGGCTAAGTGAATGATGTAGCTGTTAGCCACAACACGCTCTTGGTGATGGTGGGATCTTGTCGATGCAAGGATCAAGTCATCATTTATATCAAATGACGTCTGCTCACCTCTCAGGAGTTCCAGAGGGACGCTTTGCTCCTGTCTCTCTCCAAAGTCACGAAGCCATGGTGGAGTGGCATGACTTCTGGTCTGTTAAATGTGAATGTGGGTACTGATGTAATGTCAAGCCCCCTCACCTCATACCCCCTCAGCAGCCTTCCTCTCTTCTACCTTTTGAGCATTGAAGTCTTTGAGTTTTTCAGATTGTTCCTCAAGCAGATGAACTCAAGAGTCCCCCTCTGTACTCCAGTGCTATTTTGACCAAAAAGAGAAAAAAAAAAAGACCCACCCGTGCAAACAATACTGGCAATAATTCAGCAAAAAGATTATTTTTACCCTGACAGCTTTATATCCTACATTATGTTGGTGATGGGTATCTGTATGTAAGAGGAGGGGTAACTGGGTTTGGGACCATCTCCATGCTTTAACTGAAAGTCCTGAAGGTTCACGTTGGGATGACGTTGGATTAAGTTTAGGTTCTGACAGACGACAAATACTCAAAGTCCTCTCTGCGGATGTTTGGAGAGGAGGTTTTCATTGTTTTCAGTTTTTGCCTGCTAGTGCTGCCGGGAGCGACTCCTGGTTGGAAAGATGAACCCCTTGAGGTACTTGTTTTGCTTAAAGAACTTGTAATGTTTCAGTGAATGTTTAAACTGGAAGGTCTTGGGATGTTTCTTGTGGAGGGGGAGGGACTTGGGTTTGGGGCGGGGCGGGTGGTTTAACGGGGATAGGGAGAGGGTGTTTTAGGCTGGACATTAGTTCGGCGGGTACGTTTATTTTTCTGTCTGTATAGCTTTCCTCCCCTCAGAAAAAAAAGAAAAGTCTATTTATATAGGCTTGTGACCTCGCTACCTCTGATTACTCTTACGAACTCTATGTTGATTAGTTGAAAGTTCCTATGTAATTAATTGTAAAAAATGTGTAGATTATGGTAACTTTTCACCTAATGCTTTAACCTGCCCATCTCTCAACACAGGTTTTTGATGCTCATAGGTTTTACACATTAATATTGTTTTTAGCTGTCTCGTTTGTACTTGTCAGATATAGCTTTCTTTTCCCGGGCGCCCGCTCATTGTGGCCCCACTTCAAAGTGTACTGTAGCTTCCTGCCTGGAGCAAGTAGTGCTTAGTTGGTTAGTTTAGATGTATAGTGTTCCAAAGATCTTATGAATGTTGAGGAGAACAGAGCTAACTAACAAACATTGCTAGACAAGTTCATAACCAAAGTTTTAAAAAAAAAAAAAGATGTACTTAAGATATATAGCATACTAAATTATTTCACTTTTGATTTCTTTTTTTGCTGTATAAAACAAATTATGAATTATATTCTAAGTCCAGACAAAGAAATCCACTCTTCTGATGGAGTTTTGGCCAATGACTCTGAGACTGACGAAGATTCTTGTGGTTTGCAAGGAAAGCTTGTGCTGATTGGTGGGCCGGTGTAACGTAAACTTTATCACCTAACGAGAAACTGGTAAAGTTTAAAGACATGTTCCCTGAACGTGTTTTGTTTTTTTTTTTTCTTTTGGTTTCTTTTCGTTTGTATCCAGAGTCCTTATCACTTTATATTCCCTGACTTTAAAAACAGGACTTGATGACATTTTATGTGTTCTGTTCAGACCAAAAAAAAAAAAAAAAAAAAAAAAAAAAAAAAAAAAAAAAAAAAAAAAAAAAAAAAAAAAAAAAAGATAGGAATTATAATCAGAATTTTAATGTGAAGTTCAAGTTGCTTGTTAGTTTTTTGAGCCAGACTTGTGAAAACTTGTAATAAGAAGGGAGAAGCAGAGATGCACTGGACAGCTGGACAACTCGTCGGTCTCCTGCAGCATCCTTTTGTTTCTGATTGTATTCCATTATATCGCAGAATGACTTTAAATTATTTTTAGACTATTTTAAGCTTTACCTCATCATAAGCAACCACACGTTGGGAGCGGCCCCTCTGTTGTCTGTAGGTTTCACTGAAACCTGTCCAGTGTATCGACTCTCAACAGTTACACTGTGGAGCATGAACCTTCACTACAAGTTTTTGGTATAGGCATTCCTCTGTTATGTTGGTTTAACTGTCCTCTTGATTTTTTATTTTTTTTTAATTCCTCTTTCGTCCTCATGTTCTGGTCTGTGAAATGTTTGTTATCATAGGGATGCAGCTACAGTTACACAAACATCACTACCGTTTTAAGGTACCTGCGTCCTGGACTCCCGGAGTTGTTACTTGGTTTTGTTGGATGTCGGTGTCTTGCTGTTGAGCAGTTACTGTTTAGTGATTGCATGGTACATCTGAATTTTTCACACTCCCCGACCCCCCCCCTCAACCCACAAACATGTTATTTATCGCCTGATCCATTGTTGCTTGTGACCTCTTCTAGCTTAAGAGGGAGTCCACAATGCATTGCCTTCAAACGTTATTGTACTTGTCAGCACTTACTGCAGTACAGCGAAAAGTCTGTAACGCAAAAGGTGTTTTTGTACAACAAGATCTCTAGCCATCTCTGCAAATGATTTTTGCAGCTGCATTTGAATGCTTGCTTGTTTGACATAACGAAGAAAGAAAAAAAAAAAACCTACGAACTCCAAACTGTGACCATACTACTACTACTACTACTACTATTACTACTACTACTAGTACTACTACTCTTCAAATACTTCAGGGATTGTTCTGCATCTGTGAATGCGGACTCTCAGCTACATTTGTAAGATATAGCATTGTATCAAGTTCTCTGTATTTTAATCATGGGAAAAGCAAAACACTAGTTTCATATTTAAGACGAACAGGGGGGTACTTTTTTCAACTAACACAAAAAGCCTTGACAAAGGCGAGGCAGCTCGAAAACAAGTCTACATTTTAGTTAGTTACACAGTATGTTCAGAAATAGTTGCAAAGTTGTACAAAGAACTAAGAAGAAAGAAAAGAAAAAAAAAAAAAGAAGCTCATACCCAAATCCACAAACTATTTTTTAAACCAAAGCACATTTGAATGATTATGGAACCATGTGTGGCTCTAAAAAGAAACATATGTATTTATCTCATTGTTTACATAAACTTTTACAGTTTTACAGACCTCAGTCGAGGCTCGGCCAGCCAGGGAGGTGGGTTTTGTGTGTTTTTTTTTTTTCCTTATTTTTTTTTTAAAAGAAGATGCTTTTCCACAGAGGTTGCTGCCAAAACAAAAGCATAGATGGGGTGAACTACTGCATATTCAATGAAGGGGAGGGTGTGTGGTTTTAGGGGCACCTCCCCTCCCTGCCAGCTGGCTTTGGGGGTGACCCTGCGCCCCAGTGCTCCTGCCCTCTGGCCTGTCTTCAGATGGGACCACGGCGACAGGGGGAGGGCGGGCGAGCAGTGCGTCCTTGACGTATCAATCAAAAGGCATTGTTAGTCAGGGTCTTTAGCTCAGTGTTGTGTCTCTGTGTTTACCCAAATGCACTTGAGGACTACCTCTGCTGCGTGGGTCTCTTAAGATGTAGGAGTGTGTGGGTGATGCTTGAATGGTTTAGTCGTCTAACATCTCTCATGCTGGCGGTTCTTGAAACCTATCTGGAGAATGTAGCTTTGATTTGTTCACTGCATGTAAACAGGCTTCTCTGGTAGTCTTAACTGTGAATGTTATTGTCGTTTTTTCTGCTTTTATGATGTTTTGAACCTTTTTTTTTTAAAGCTACCTGTGTTTTGTGGGTAAAAGCAGCACAAACCTCTGGCTGGCCGAGCCTCAAACAAAGTTGGTGCAAACACTTATTGACAGTGTTCTTTTTTTATCAAATGTCTATTGTCAGTGATGAATGTATTTATTTCTGGGCCTGCCCTCACCTCTTCAAAGAATTTGCTCAGTGTGTGAGACTGAGGTGGAGGCAGGACCCCCCTTTTTTTTTTTGTTTTATTTTTGTTTTGAGGATTTCAAGCTGAGAATCAAAAATGAGACACAAAACATAGCCATTAACCACAATCTGTGAAGTTGACTTTTTTTTTTTTTTTTGTGGGAAAACTGACTTTATTTTTTTTTTTTTCCAACTCAAAGAAAATGGTCTATGGCATTTATTATCTTCTCAGTTATACCTGACAGTCTGTAGGGTTTTTATTTCATGTAATTCACTGTGGGTGTTTTTTCGCCCATGCGTTGTTGGGTTCTCACTGAACGACTGCACACCGGGGAGCTGAACTTTCACCTCCTGTGTGTGTCTGTGGACGCGGGCAGGACGCCGTCACTGCCTGTGCAGAGCGGAGGCTACTGTATCTCTTCAAGCTTGCTCTCCCTGGGTGTTGCCATGCTGCTGACATGAAAGAAAAAGGAAGGAAAAAAACCATTTACACAGCAGAAACATGCACATAATCCACACTTCTCTTCTCTGAACAGCAGTGTTCCTCTCTTGACTATTGTTACATTTCCTGTCTTAAACCACTTGCCACTTCTTCCATCTCTTTTACACGATGTTTAAGTTTTTAGTGTCTGTTAGTTCCACATCGGAGGATTTTAGAAACGTTGGATGAGATAGCTTTACTAAGTGCACTTTGTATGTTTTCCAAAGCCTCCGGAGACGAACCTGGACGCTCTCATATCAGTTCCGATTCAACTGACGGTTTACTCTTCGTCTTTCTCTTCTTACCTCATCGTTGTTGCTGTGTTTGTTAAAATATCATATCATTATGCAGTGTTAAAAAAGCTTTAAAATTACATATACAAAGCAGGAAACTCGGCCGAGGCTGCGCTCGGCTGCAGGCGTTCAAGTTTCCATCTCATTCCTCGGTATTATTGTTGTTACACCTTTTTTTTTTTTTTTTTTTGCGGTTGCTACTTCTACCATCCTCTCCTGGTCT